AGATAGATAGATAGATAGATAGATAGATAGATAGATAGATAGATAGACCATCTTCCTACCTGTCCTAACATTCTAAGCTGCTGTGAAACCTTCTGGGACCCTCTCCTCTCATCATCTGAACCTCAGTTCACGAGGGAGAAACTAGAGTCAGAGTCCCTCCTGACAACAGTAACATCTCCACAACAACAGACTGGTCCACAGCACTTAACAACCCAGGGGAAGACGTGAGGAGGGATGTGTTTACTGTTTGTGTTGCTGCCATGTGTTTTTCACACATCAAATAATAAAATTACACGTTTGTAGGGTCTCACCTTAGCGTGACCTTTGTATGATTTCAGAGCCTACATTAGCCTTGCAGCTGAACTGGAACTGTGGGTGATTTTACGTCCTGGTCCATACATTTCTGCCGAGCTGGACTTGGGAGGACTGCCAAGGTAGCGCTGCTGATCTTTACACACGACTTCGTGTAAAGCAGATTTTGTGTGTGTGAAAGGAGCTAAAGTTTGAGCAGGGTGCACAGTGACACATGGAGGAGACATTTAGTTGAAGGCACGTTCCATAGCTCTGAGGGATGAGTTGTTACATGTCTGAAGATTTGATCATCACGTTAAAGCTTCAGATAAAAATCTCAGCATGTTGTTTTCTTGCTCCCTGCAGCTGGCTCCTCAGAGACCACAGCATGAGGCTGAGGACCACCCATCCCAGCTTCACTCAGGCGGTCAACGTTTACTTTGACAAACTTATTCCAAAACTGGTTCCGCTGCAGGTCGTGCTTTACCAGTCGAGTTCAAACCAAGTGTGACTTCAGTTCATTGAAGATGTCATCCTCTTACCGAAGCGCTTGCTGTGTATTTCAGTTCAAGAAGGGAGGCCCCATCATCGCTGTGCAGGTTGAAAATGAATATGGATCGTTTGCAAAGGATCAAAGCTACATGTTATTCATTAAAGAGGTAAAGTTCTTGGCTGTACTGTGTTAGAACTGTGCCGAAACTTCCGAGGCTGGATGATGACTTTCACTTGTGAGTTTTATTTTGAAAGGCCTTGCAGTCCAGAGGGATCAGTGAGCTTCTGATTACATCAGACATCCACAACACACTGAAGTCAGGGGGCATCCCTGGAGGTACAGCAAGCACATATACACAATTTGAATGGTTATCATTAAATATTCGTTTATGTTTTATGCGTTGTTGCAACCAGGAAACTTTCTGGGCTGGTGTTGATAGAGTGCATCTACATTTCATAGACTCTTACCCCCCACCAGTTTTAGATGACAGTTATCCTGAATGAAAATCCTGCCAGAACTGACCTCATGGGGCAAAGTTACAGCTAGCTGCTTCTGCCAATATCTGTTTGCATATAATCACCAAATTATATGTAAAATTAGACGCCCACTTTTTATGCCAGCACTGTAGTCTGAGATAATCTTGTCCTTAGAAATGACTGAGTTGTAGCCGTCATGCTCAGAGTATGTGTTGGGGCTGACTCTCAGCTACCACCACACCAAATCTTAGCTCAGTATCAGTAAAAGTGTTTCAGTTACAGCAATTTTGTCACATATAATGCCGATTAGCTTCGACAACCATCTTGCATAGGATTGACTCCAAATGTTCATCAGTTGTAGATGTACATCCAGTGGTTACCATGTAGGAGTTTCATTAAAATTTGTTCAATGGTTCATGAGATATTTTGCTAACAGACAGAGTTGACTTAAGACAGTTTATCCCAGTCTTGTGCAATCTGTTCACATGCTCATAATTTGTTGTGGGGATCTGTTTCAGTTCCTACCAAACCAAATTGTAAGTCAATACATGTAGAATCGACTGAGTTAGACTAATTTTTGTGTTTTTGAAGATGGTTTGGCTGTGGCAGCCATTTTGAATCACGCTGACTCCAAACGTCTAACATTTGGACTTGGCTGTGTTCAGACTGTTTGTTAAATATCTTATCTGTCAGCCTTCGACTCTGTTTCATCAAACTGAGGCCGTTCAAAGCGATATCTACAACTGGCTAAATATCAACCTTGTTCCATTTAAAATGTGTGGAATGTCCCTTTAACCATGGATCTGTTGTCTTGTAGCCATCAGGTCAGTGAAGCTGCAGAAGCTAAATCAGAGAGACATCCAGGAACTGATGGCTATCCAGGTGAGTCTGACCTTTCACCTTCTGGATTGGGAGCGTCCTCAGCTAACAGCGTGAATCTTTCGTGGACTGGTTCTTTTAGCCCAACAGCCCCTCCCTGGTGATGGAATACTGGACCGGTGCCTTCGATGTATGGGGGGACCTCCACCACGTGTTGCCTCCTGAGGGTGAGCACCAGCTACTGATTTACTTTGGACAAAACTTCAAATCTCTACTGCTGCTTCTGTTTTTGTAGATCTTTGACTCGTTGAGGGTTTTACTGACTTTCGCTCTGTTGAAGCTACTGGGGGTTGGCGGACGGTGGATTGGTGGTCAGTGCTGTGGTCTCGTAGTCCTGAGGCTGCAGATTGAACCCAGGTAGTCAAATCCTTTGTGTGAGTTTGTGAGCCCTGCAGAAGAGAGCAGCTAAAAGAAAATCAACAACATCCCTGGTGAAAATCGTTAACCTCCAGTGTTGGAGTCATTGTGTCATGGATCCACAGGCGGAGTGTGAACGCTGAGTCAGCAGTCCCACTACTGAGTCCCCGTTTGTATTTTACTGTACTTTATTTAGACTCCAAACACCTCAACATGTGCAGTAGTCCCTCGTTTATTGTGGGGGTTATGTTCCGGATCGCAGATAAGTGAAAATCCGCGAAGTAGTGACGTTATATTTATTTTAGTATTTATATATATTTGAAGGCTTTATAAACTCTTCCCACACTCTTACAATGTTCTAAACTCTTAAACCTACATCATTTTAACAACATACTTATATGTAGCTAATCTTACTCACCAGCTGAGCAGAACAGCGGTGGATCAGTTCCGCTCCAACTTGGTTCAGTTTCGACAGACCTACCCTGCTGGTTCTGGTTGTCTCTCTGGCTCGGGGTAGTGGTGGTGGGCTCTGGAGGGAGCGCCAGACCTTCGGTGGTGTGCGTCCCCTCTCGGAAGTCCTCGTGGGTCGGCTACCAGCTCTCAGATTCACAGAAGGGTCTGGAGGTCCGGTTCTGTGCAGCCCTTGAACGCCGAAGCACATTTTTGGGGGGAGGCGGGACCTTCAGGTGGCTGGCGTGGGACAGTGGTCTGATTAAGTGGTCCCATAGAGAGATGACAAAAGTCCTGGTGGGCTCCAAAGAGAGGTCGGACCTTCAGCGGTGCGCGTCCCCTCTCAGAAGTCCTTGTGTGCCGGCTAGCAGCTCTCGTATTCGCTGATGGGTCTGGAGGTCCAGTTCTGGTCTGGTTCTCAGTGGGATCCGTGCAGCTCTGCATCCACTGGGTGTCGAAGTCACTGAAAAGAACCAAACTTTTTTAGATCAGATAAAAACTTTCCTTCTACGTATTTTAACAGAAGGCAACGGGGCTTCTGTGAAATGTAGTCCTTATGAGTGGCGATACAGTACAGGCTTATTGAGAGAAAACTACAAAATGGTGGCGCCTGTCCAAAGTATTGTAGTTTGTTGTTAACTTTTTACTGTACAGTATCCAGTACTGTCCTAACCACGTGAGTAATATTAAAGTTGACACTCATTTCTCGTGTACAATTTTTTTCCCTGTTCAATCTTACTTTGAAAAACCGAAAAAGAGCGAGTTTGTGAAAGTCGAACCACCAAATAGCGAGGGTTGACTGTAATGAGTTATTTTAGTTATTCAAATATCAAAAACATTCAGCTCTTTAAGGACCTAAAGATCCTACGTTTTTTTTTTTTTTGTAACTTTTAACAGTTTTAAAATATTCAACTTAAAATGTAAAAATTCAAATGAAATCTTGTCAGTTCCTTTAAAAATCTTGTCTTTTTAAAAAGTCTTCAGTGTACTGGCTCTGGTTTGTCTTCCTGTTCTCCATTCAGCTTTTCGCCATCAGTCTACTACTTTTATTTTTAAACTACATTTCTGCTCCTTTTAGTGAAACTCGCTTTTTTTGTGTGTGTTTTGGCACATTAAATTTTAGCTATTGCTCTGCTCGTTTTAAGCTTTTTCACAGAAAATCCTTTTTCTCCAGTTAAATCTTTGTTTCTCAGTTTCTACTGGTACTTTTCAACAGTTCGTAAAGGCCTTCGCATTTTTTTGCAAAACGATGTGTAGGTAAAGCCAAGCAGACAAACAGGCCTGGTAGGAATCACCCACCACCGTTCATACCAGAGTTTTAGACTAAGATCATTTTATTTTATAAAATGACAGAGGTAGAACCGTTTGGGTAAAACATTAAAATTATGTACAATCGTGTGATACTGTGAGATGTAACAGTCGGTGTGTGTTGGAATGACTCTCAGTTACTAACGTATCAAACGTTTTGCTCAGTATCTGTGAAACTGACTGAGGCATGGATCATTTTGAGTTGGCTAATGTTGGTTAGCTGTGACGACCATTGTGAATTGAACTGAGTAGAAATGTTTTAAGCAAAGCTCTTATGCAATGATGTAATGACCTAAACTGGTTTGTGTTGGGGAAGACTCCCAGTTACAACCACACCAAATTTAACCACAATATCTGCAAAAGCTGAAAGAACTGTGTGTGTTTTTTTTTAAGATCAGTTGAAGTGGTGGCGTTAGAGAAGGTGGGCCTGTGATCGGAAGGGTGCCGGTTCGACTCCCTGGACCGACAAGACCAAAATGTGGGTGGGATAGGTGAAGCAACCACACCTGTCTCCACCCTCATTTGCCCCACTCTGGACCCTTGAGCAAGGCCTTAAACCGCACCATCTGCTCCCCTGGGTGCCCTAGTGGCAGCTCTCTGCTTCACACAGAGGGCTGTGGTGGCCATCTTGAATCAGTTATACTTTGTAGATGTTCATTCAACAATATCTTTTAGAGTGTTTTATTAGTCCATTCAGTGGTTATGAAGGAACACCCCCCCCCCCCCCACACACACACACACCCACACACACACACGCGCATGCACACACACACATACCATAAAGGCTACAGCCCAAACAATACATTAATAGTATGATATTGTTTTTAATCAAAGTTCATGCTCAATCATCCAGGTACAAAATCCACTAATGGTCCATCAAGATCTGGACAGTTTCTTTTTTGTGGAAAGACATTTCACCCTCTATCCAGAGGGCTTCATCAGTCTGAGGAGACCCAAGTGAACTGTTTTCTCCACTAAGCAGTACGCTCCTTTAGTGGACCAACCAGTTTGCTGGTGATAAGATGGTTTCTGGGGGCTGTCCTGTCCCCCGTCGACTCCCAGGCAGGCAGCCACGGCCAAAGTGGTTCAATACATCAGAGTTCATGCTCAACTGAATTTGTTCAGTTATTTATTTATTCAGTATTATTATTATTGAAGGGCAGCACGGTGGCACAACTGGTAGAGCTGCTGCCTCTCAGCGAGCAGGTCCCTGGTTCAAACCCCGGTCCAGGGGCCTATCTGGGTGGAGTTTGCATGTTTGCTCCGTGCATGCGTGGGTTTTCTCCGGGTACTCCGGTTTCCTCCCACAGTCCAAAAACATGCATGTTAGGCTGATTGGTAACTCTAAATTGTCCCTAGGTGTGAGTGAGAGAGTGAATGGTTGTTTGTCTCATTTGTCTCTATGTGTCCCTGTGATGGACTTGCGACCCGTCTAGGGTGTACCCCGCCCCTCGCACAGTGATTGCTGGACATGGGCACCGGTGACCCCCGTGACCCGAAATGGAATAAGCGGGTAAAGATAATGGATGGATGGATTATTATTGAAAATATTGTTTTTAATTTTTTAACTTAACTTAATAGTATTTTTTTCTCGACTAGTTCTAACATTCTTTAAACAGAGGTTTTCATCTCTGTCCACATGTTTGTGCAGGAGGAAGGTCATCCTCATGCCAACAATAGAGATGCAAATTTTAAAAATATGGTCAAATTGTTTTTGCATGTTTTACTTTAGCACCTGGAAACAGATCATTATTTAAAGCTGGCCGTAAAAATGTTCAAACCCATCTCTTTTCTTTACCTGCCTTTTCATTTGTGGTCCACAGGGGAACTGGTGCCCATGTTCAGCTGTCACTGTGTGAGAGGCAGGGGACACCCTGGACATGTCTCCTGTCCATCACACGGACACATAAAGACAAACACCATTCATAGTCTCACTCACACCCAGGCACAAGTTAAAGTTACCGATGCTCACATGCTTGTTTTGGTCTGTTTCCAGAGTGCTCACAGGGAGAACATGTAAATTGGACCCAGAAAGTCCCCGGTCCTGGAGGTGATTCTGCTGTGCTAACCGGCGTTGTTCTGAAATTGTGATAACTGATTTTGTAAGTATTTGTGAAAATATAAATTTTTCTTTTCAGATATGGTGTCCACCGTGAGGGAGATTGTGAGACGAGGCATGTCTGTCAACCTGTACATGTTCCATGGAGGATCCAGTTTTGGCTTCATGAGCGGAGCGCTCGCTAGTCCTTCCTACAGAGCTTTAGTCCCCAGCTATGGTTGGTTCCTCTGTTTTGTTTACCACAAACAAAGCAGCAATGGTTTCCATGCAAATACAATCATAGTGCCATCTTGTATTTTTTGTTTGTTTGTTGGTATTGGTTTAGGTAAAAGCAACATTGTACATTATTAAGTAGTTCTGCAAATTTACCAGAGTTAGCCAAAAGGCAATTTTTGATCTGCTGTCACTGGTCAGCATAAACACAAGTGTACACAAAAGTCTAGTGACAAATACAGAATAAAACACAAAAATCTAAAACATCTCAAAAGTTTGTCAAAAATATTCAAACATCTAATTTACATTGAGACAACAGGATGGCAGGATGAGAGGGTTGAGGATTACAAGGTCAGGACAGTACATATCATACATTACATTACATAACATTACATTACATAACATTACATTACATATCATAACATTACTGTCATGAACCAGAGGCCGGATCGCAAACAACAACA